GTACTGTCGAGGCTTTCCACGCTACAACTCTCGATGCACTCGACGACACACGAGCACAGCTCCTGACTCTTCGGTTCAGTCTTTCTCGGAGCTCAACATGCTCTCTCGACGATGCACTAACTGCGATACACTAACAGACTCCTTCAGTGGACTCGACGACTCACTCGGCACTCGCTGCCCGGCTGTCAACTCGATCGACTCCGCAGGGATTGATTTGATAGACGAGACACACACACTCTCGATGAGAGACACTAACTGACTGCGGACCAGCAGGATTTATATAGCTTTCGGGTTGTGTTCGAGAACATTCTGGTCTAAACCGGTAAGAATTCGTTCCAGAAGGTTCTCCATCAATCCATGGCATATCGCCAATTTTATCGCCAAATGACGCCAAATGGGCAATTTCTCGCCAAATGTGGAAACTTTGCATTCCCTTGTCATTTTATGGCAACCCTAAAACTGCTTTGCGGGGAAGCCATCTCACCGCGCCTTTACATTTCGTAACAATACATTCATCAAAAGTGTGCAGGAGTTTCACTGTTGGTCCATTGGGACTTTATCTATACGATGAATACTGAAATTCTGATGTTCCGCGCACTTGTACTTGTACCTGTTGTAATGAGAATTTTCCATACAGCCATGCTTTTGACATTGGTTCATAAATGTTTCGCTATCAGTAAGAATATTCCCATATCATCTATCATAAAAATTCCTCCTCTCCCCAAAAGAAGTCTTCCTCAACACAATATCTCTACTAACATTCTCTTTCTCTCAAATAATATGATTTATGTAGTACGTTGGAAAGTCGTCAAGTCTCGTCATCGTACACTGCTCGTAACTCTCAATAATGGAGAACAAATCAGTCCTCCGTAATTTTTTCAATTAAAAAATAGTTTAAGTAATTAAAAACCATAAAATATGATTTTAACTGAAGTTATTATTACTGAGATCAGGAAAAAATTAATTCAAATTAGTTTTTGAACTAAAAAAAGTACGTGGCATAGCATCAGCAAAACATTATCGGAGTTTCAAGAACTGATCACAAGAAATCTTATGAAATCCGCTTTCTGAAGTAGTTGCGCAATTTCATTGATTTCTATAAAATTTGACCAAACAGAACTCGCGCTATGTATAGATAATCGATTCAATTGTTCAATGAAATTTCTTACACAGAAATAAGTGTTTGCGATATCTTGTAGCAAAAGGAATGTAAAACCGCAACTGAAAAACTATTACAGAATTTTGAAACTTAGTTCGTTATCGTTATAAAAACAGCTATTAATAATAGAGTTGGAAGATACTTCTACTGCTGTTACTACTAATATAACTACTTCTAGTACTACTGCTACTGCTACTTACTCTTACTACTAATAATAATGAGAATAATAAAAGAAATTATACGCTTCGCTAAAATTATATAGGAGGGGAGCTTGGCTAGCTGTAACAATTTTTGGAAAAATGTTTATATTTTTAAATGTATTCACGATTCTTTAATTATAACTGCTGTTTTTATTGCATAAATATTCATTCATCATATGCAGAAAATAAATATTTAAAATGAAAATATATTTTTTTTTAAAAAAGTAGTGATAGTTATTATTTGGCATGCTGACAATGAATGATATCAAGTGATTTAGAGTAACACAAAGATAAAACTAGATACCCAATCAACATAAAAGTCAGTTTTCATCGAAACTGCAGTTCACACACAAAAAAGGAAGATTGTTTCCTCTCACATATTTAACATGTACCCATTATTTGCATATTAAACATTGCACCGTTTCTTTTTCATATCTACACAAGTTAAACAAAACCATTTTTATTTTGTTTCAGAATCAATATCTGAATTCAAAAAACTTCTTTTCCCACATTCCATTTCTTTATTTTCTTTAACCTTTCCCTTACAATTATCTTTCTTTTCTTTTTTTCACTCCTTATTAATTATCTTTTCATATTCTTTTTCCTATCCTTCTGTTTAGGCTGTGTTAGAACTGCGAATTTCCTTTTGCGTCGGTCTGTGTTAAACTGTTTCCGAGGTGAGGCCTTAAGGATAGATCAAATCTTTAAAGGTGAAATATTGAATTTTCTATTTTGGGAAAAAATAGATAGTTGTTCTGAGATTTTGTTACAACTTGCTCCAATGCATGATTTCGGACATTTTTGTTGATTTATATATATATATATATAAAAGCGATTACAAAAGCATTAAGGCCGGATTTTAAAACTTGATACATGGAAAACATAAATTGGTAAAATCATTTTAAAAAAACGATCGGTTGCTTACATTATATCAAAACTTATGAAAAATATTTTTTCCCATTAGCGTAGCTAAGACAGAGCAGGTGCATACAACAGCTCAGTGTGCCCATTTCGCCATGTGCTCCTCTACGTGCTTTCACAAGTGCTTATCATAATATTTTTCTCTAGTAGTATTATTTGAAGAAAACAGTCAAGGTTATTTGTTAATTTAAGAATCACAGGAAGAATGAATGTCAAGCATTTGCAATTACAAATAAATAATTATCCATTTAGATGCAAACAAGAGTCCCTGTTCTATTATTTCGGGATAAAGGTATGTAAAATAAGGTGTGATAAGAAGAAAACAAAATGATAGGCTTATTTTTAGTTTCTAATTTAATTTCTCATTAATTAACAATGAATTGATTGAAATTTAGAGGCCAAAAATAAAATGAAAGAGGAAAAAAAGAAGAGACAAAATGTCACAAAATACAGAGCATGAACAAAGGAATCATACATCCGACAGTCAGAAAGTGAAACAGCACCTGACAAATTTTAGGCTACGTAACTTTGACAGCCCTACAAATTTAAAAATTCGTCCCTGATGTATTATAATATAGAACATAAATATATAGATATATAACATAAAATCTTACATTTAAAATTAGCAATTAAAAATGGCAAAGCTAATTAGCAGAAAAAAATTATTACATTATTTCATTGCAAATTAAAGCTATCTGGAGATCTTGGTAATACTGAAGAGATGGATTAATTATTTAAGAAGTAGCTGAACATTTATTTCACTTGATCGCTTACTAACGAGGCTTGAAACAATAAATAATCAAAATATTTTCTTTAAAATGTTTAAAAATGAAGTAGTCTCTCTTGATATGAAAATGGGAACATTACCGGAAGGTCTTACGAGTACTTTCCTGTTATCGCAATCACCCTCACAGAATTCGCCAAATTTTCAGAATATGTCAAACTCTTAAAATCATGTGCATAACCATTCTTCAGGCAAATATGCTTGTATCATTCCTTCAGTGAAGCAGCATTGCCAATTTCGTTTGCGTTCTTTTAGTTGTGTTCTACGGCTTAACGGTTTTTGTAGACGAATCGTGATATATTTTGCCTTCAACTCAATTTTAAAGCATCGCTTTTCAAATTTGCCAGCAGTAGAAGAAACTTAGGTAAATGTTTTGCAGGAATTTTGTTGGAAAAGTGCTAAAGCGAACAATGATGAGATGCGTTTGGCAGACAGCCGATGTGCAATCCCGAGGTTTTGCAATTCCTTGATGTTTCTCAGACGAAAACAGATTGCTGTTCATGGGCAGCAGAACAGCGCTAAAAATCTAGAGATTTTGCAAAAAAAATGTGTTTTTTAAGGTACCACATAATCCTTATTTAATAATTTAGATTTGTATTTTAAAATTTTTAGAATGCTTTTTTCTTTTGATATCTTGATAAAGTTTGCCGACTTACGATAAACACCAACGGTTTGGGAATGTTTTTAAAAAAAATTCGCGAAGATCGCCACTTGCATCCGATAAGTAATTTTTACCTTTTCATTTGTAAAATGCCGCCAAATTGCGCCAAGGTGATTTCGTTAAATGCAAATACCCTTCATAATTAAATTAGATCAATTACATAAAAAGAATAAAAACAGGCTGGATTAAGCATCGTGCTCTTTAAAGTCCACATACAGTTTTTATTTTCCGAAGCTTCGTTCATAGACTTTTCTCCAAGTGGACAAAGCTGTTCTGTCGGGGGAGTCTTACTATACTACGTTTTAAATCATAGATTTTTCTAAGTACATTAGAATTATAAACCTCAGTATTAATGCTACAATACAGCTTTACATGTGGATGATCCGGGTAATTAGTATTAATACCTACCGTTTATTGTAATAGCAGTGAACGAATTTTACTGCTACATTTACTGTTAATTTATTTCAACGGAGATTACTCCACTCCAATTTTAACTGAAATATGTAAATTTTATTTGTGCGAGCATTCAGATTGCTTCTGACCTTCGTAAGATTTCTTGACTTTTCTTTTCTTTTCTTAATATTTTTTTATCTCTTTCTTCTTTTTAAACGAATAAATTTTATATTATTTTGATAGGACAGAGTAAATCGATGTACAGCATTAATAGCCTTTATATATTAGTTAAGTCTAAGAATAATTAAAAATACATAAATAAACTAATTCCCAGTTCTAAGAAGGAAAATAAACAATTCGAATAAACTGGATTCTCAAACTTATATATATTTGTATCATAGTTGACATGCATAAGAATTAGTCCAATAATTTAAGCGTTTTTAAAGCTATTAAACGCCCTACTTCAGTTTCTTTATTGTGTAGAAGCAAAAGTAAATCTGAAAGAAAAGGAAATACAAACGTAATTTGACAGCCTTAATGTTGATTAAAGTTAATCGATAAGAGTAGAATAAATTACACTATTTATCAAGTAAATAACACCAAAACTAAACGATGAATGGGAAACACTAGACGAGAATATAAATATATATTTACTTTTCATTTCAAAAACTGTCGTGTTTAGTAGTCTGTTTTCACGAATGCTTCCTCCCACCCTTTTTTTATTCTATAAGCATAAAATAGCGCAGTGTATTCTTGAAGAATTATCGATTGAAACAAATTTTCAGCAGTCCAGGAAATTCGATTCGTTATTAGCGTGCAAATAGACTTGGTACTTGAGAAAAGGCTTTAGATTTCGCGATAAAATTTCAAAGCGAAAAGTTTTTATAAGTGTTGATAGAGTTCCTGTCTAAACAGATGAAAAGAAAAACGTAATATTTGGTTTGGGAAGAAAGGATATGAGACTGGATCATGCACTTTCGCGTTGCCATCGAAGAGGTAAGAATATGCAGCGTATAAGGGTAAAATTGTTATTTATCTAGAGCGTTTTTGATAATTTATGTTTTATGGGTAATAAAAATTATTTGTTTCAGTCTTTAATCAAGCAAAGTGACTTTTTTCTAAATTTGAAAAATACATTATCAGTGACTCAATCATTAATAAAATAGATATATTTTATTATATTTACTATTTTAAGAATTTAATATATTTTATTACTGCTGAATTATCAGATTACATTATGCATATTAATGTTATAGTATAGTACTTGTACACCAAAAAGTAACGTAATGTTGCAACTCTTCTAAAACATAATCTTAACGTGTTATATGGTAGATTTATAGTATTTTTAAAATATCATAATTCACAAAATATTGGAGTTGAAATCCTAAACAATATTAGTTTCAATGTGACACGTAATATCTTCTTATATGTTCTTGAAATGTCAGAACCTCTAACTAAGAACTTATTGAACCACTTGATGATTTTGTTTCTGTATTTGATGAAATCTTTAAAAAGATTAAAGAAATGGTGATAAAAATTTCTCCTGCTGTTCGATTATTTGCTGTTCTTTCAATATTTATTCCTCTTTCTATGAAATATTATTAACATGCAAGTTCTCGCTTTAAGAAAAATGCCCTATGAAAATTCTATACGATACGATGTACGATTCGATGTAGCTATGAAAATTCTATATTTGTTGAATTTTACACTTTTATTCTGCCTGGCATTTGTCGCCAGGCTTGTATTATATATTTTAAAGATAAATTTTATGTATGTCTCCAATTTAAAATAATAAAATATTAGCACTGCTTATATAATCGTATCAAAATATTAATGTAGATTAATCTTCGAATCAAATATGAATGTTACATCTATACACCCTACTTGTGAGAATATATATTTGAAAGAATTATTCTCAATTATATTAAGATCACAATAAAGTTTATTTTTTCTTTTTAACTGTATATGAATCTCCATTTTAAAATTAATTACTGAGACATTTTTAATTATTTACTTCCATCGTGACATTGTCTCCTTGTCCAGTAGAAGATTATTTTTATTGTAAGAATTTTGTATAGAATAAATATATTTTAAAAACATTTTAACGAAGGTTAACTTTTTAATCAAAATTTAAATCGCACAGGTCTATTTATATTTTTGCATATCTCAAGATCTAAATAATGATACTTTGAAGAGAGATACTGTGGGAATTAAAAAATGTTTTGATTGATAAGTTTCCAAGCAAATTCTTAACTTATCAGTGTGAGTGTTGCAGGAAGTTTATATGATCAATAATTTAATATCTTCTTTATAGATAAGTTTAGTACTTTTACAGGTATTTTACAGATACATTTTGTATATTTGGTAATTTGGGTTTCAGATATTTTTAAAGCAAGGTATGTTTAGTGTATTAAATTTTCGGAATTTTCCAGTCGTATATTTTCATTGTCTTATACATACTGAATACAATCACTTTCTGCACAGAATAGTCTTAAGCATTTGTTTAGAATCAGAAGGTACTTCTTACTTTCCTTTCACACATTCCTTTTCTCTAAAGAAATTGGTTTACACGTCTCAAATATTTATTTTTCTCTAATTGTTATCAGAAGAATGGTTTTACGGTCATATCACATCTTGATACACAAATTAAAAGATTGGAAGAAAGCATAAAAAAGAAAGAGAAGATACAGAACATTTAACTTTAATCATATTCTGGCTCTGAAATTCACATTTTCTGTAGTATACATAGCTGCTAATCTTGAAATACGAAAAACTGCGAATTCCTCGTTTCGATTACCCGGACGGTTTCCGAGAGGCTTTCGCTGCGCCATTTAAAAAAAGAACTCGGCAACTTCTTTAAATTCGCTTTATAATGAATTAGTTAGGTTATTCAAATATTTTCAGCGTGTTTCTGATGTCAAATATATTAATGTTTAATCAGATATTCTAAATTTTACTTTCGTCTTCTAATTTCATTATGAAATTTTCTCACATTTTTGTATTGAGAAAATCCTTGATAGGAAGGAAAACTCTAATTTAAAGCAGTTTTAAATGCAATGAAGATAAAATTAATAATTAATGTACATACTATTGTGTGGATAATTTAATAATGCACCATGTATTGTTGTAAAACAAAATTAAATACAAATATTAACTGAATAAACACTGGTTAAATATTGAAGGTCCTAAGGAAACAAGAATCAGATTAATATTCATAAACTTGCTGTAAGCCTTAGTATTGCTAATAATCTTTATTAGGAGTATTATTTTAATTCAGAATCGTTGAATCTTCATACAAAGTCCGACTTCCTTGTACCCGTATTAAATTATGAGCATTTTTACTGCACTATGTTTAAGCATAATTCTCGAATTATTCTAACTTAATTAACAGATCCTTCAAGGCAAGTTGAAAAATATATCAAAAGCTGCAAATTTTGAAATTAAATATCCTCGTCAAATTTGTCGCACAGCAGTCAACCTTCTTGCATTTGAATTTTTTCATAACGAATACAAAAACTTTCCAAGCAGGAGACCGCATTAAAAGTAATTTGCACAATATTATTTTTTGAAGATTTTAATTTGCCAAAACATAAATATTATCATAATTTAAATCACTTCTGTATTTGGAAGTATATGTCTGCTAACAACGATTGGGAGAATAGAGGCAAGATAAAGACTTAAGCCATCTATCTATCTATCTATCTATCTATCTACATACTTTCCGTAATGCCGCTTACAATAAAAAAAAAAGGTGCAAACTAGATGTTATACCAATACATACAAAAAATTTCAACATTCCAAAGAAACGTATTACGTTTCTTTGGAGCAGGAATACGGGGAACCAACTATGCTCTCACCGTGAGTTGAATCACGGATCTTCCATTTGTTTGACTTGTTACTGGTTACACTACCAGGGCATAGAATGAGGAAGTTGAGCAAGAAAGTCGCTGAAACGAAATAAAGTCGATTTCATGCTAGCATTTTGAAAAACAACGAGATTGTCAAACAAATTAGTTAGTATGTATATTTATCAAAATCAAAAAGATCCTGTGTATTTTTATATTTTATTCCATACACGCTAAAATCACGTGACCTGTATTGTATGTTTTTTAAAAATTAAAAAGCTATAAAAATTTCTACATTATACTAATTTTGTTATGAAAACGTGAATAGTAATATATGAAGATATATAAAATAGAAATAAATAAATAGAAAAAAAAAAAAAAAAACGCCCCTTATTTCAGGACCAGAATGTATCAAAATCGAACAGTACGCGGAGGGTTTTAAGAATATGGTAAGAACGAAAAGAATATTTTCTTTGGATGCCCTCGCGAACTTACTCAAATGTTAACCGTTAATTGTTTGACACCTGTTCGATGGACTAAGCGTAGAAATAATATCCTGAGAATAGAAATATAATAATATCCTGAGATTTATTTGTGAAATGTTACTCCTCCTTCGTATTCGAAATATTACGTACTTTCAATTTTAACAGTAAAGTAGAAAAGTTTCGCTGTTCTGATCTCTGCCGTTGTGGGAAGATTTGAAATCGGTAATGCAAGACTTTTTTTGCATTTAATGCAAAAGAATTCTAATAGCACAAGATAAACCAACTGTTACATACATAGCGATAATTCATATATAATGATAGTAATTACGCGAAATCATAGATAATTCATGATAATACATAATCATAGCTTTCATATTCTTTCATTTAGTTTTATTACTGAAACCATTGTTTGACAGTTTCAACAAACCCATTATTTTAAAGTGTATATCTTTAAAAAATTGCGATAAAGAACAAAAGAAAATGCATACCTATACTGTAGAGAAAGATAATCTGTCTTTTTTACGATTATTCAGACAGTCGCAATTAGTCCAAAACCTAGTGAATGTTCTTATATTACGCTCTTTTCAAAATTTTGACTATCAATTTAATTTATTATGTGATTCGTAATTTTCTATATGTGAAAAGGTGAAAACTTTTCCTGTAACGTTAACGTATTGTAGATGATGTTAGTTTTCACCGAGCAAAAATTTACCTTCAAATTTAGGATTTATTTAGAGTTTCTTATAATAAAGCTCCAAAAGTGGATCACCCGCGGTTTCAAATGATTTTGGTCAAAAATGACGCAATGAAAGTAATATTTTAAGTTAGGGTAGCAGATAAAATAAAATAATTTTATATATGTTTGGATCTATTTAATGGCTTATATTATTAGACAAATAGTTATATTTGAAAACATCATTATTTTTTCCAGTATATTCCATGCATTGCCTTGAACGATACATCGAAAGGAATTAAAGCTACAGGTCCTCTGATTGACATGCTGAATCTGTTTGCTCATCGCATGAATTTCACGTAAATATTCAATACGTCTTTTGTAAACCTTCCTCGAAAATGCACTTTAAGGTATTAATTATATATGAATATTCAGGGCTGGGTTAATTAGTACGTTATATAAACATGAGTTTAGAATGGAAGCATCACAACGAGTTTCGTAGGTATTCAAGAAAAGAGGCATTGTCGGTTTTACCGTGGAATGTATGGCGCAGCTAAACCAGAACGGAGAGAGAAAAGAGAGGAAAAAAGCTGGTGTAAACAAATAGGGGGGGGGCACCAAAATGTTTTAGGTGCTTCTAAGAAGTTTTAATCCAGCCCTGTGAATTCTACATATTATTTTAATTTTACAGGCTAATCTGTTAGATTATGGAAGCAACAAATAGGATATCATTTTAAGTTTCTGACTTGAAATTTATATGTATATATGAATAGTGATGGAGTTTTAATTGAATATATGTATAGTGATGGAGACGTTTAATATTATATAAGCATAGCAACAAATATTAGCTTTGCATGCAGGAGTAGATTTCGCATTGTCTTATAAATATCAGAACAAAATTAGTACATTTAACATGAATTTTTAAGTTTTTAGTTTCATAGAACTATTCTAAGTTTTATAATTACTATCCTCCTAAATGGTGCATCCACAGCCAGTTTTCTATATGATGTACAGATAATGACGAATGAATTCGGCCATTCCTGATGAATACTTAACCAGCGTTGGCCGGCCATTGAAAGGGGTAGGGGATTATTCTCATTACTTAGCAAAAGAGGAATTATGGAATTAGTTTGCATGATCCTGTTCAAAATATTATAATTGGTTTATTTTTAACTGTAACTTTAAAGCAAAAGTTCAACACTTTTTTAACTATGGCGTGACTAATAGTTTTCTGATGGGATACCATTCAAATTATATACTTCAAACGGAATTTGGCTTGCAGGGCAAACGGTTTCGTACGTTATGCAAAGCACCAGAAAAGAAATTTTTTACTTTAAAATAGTTTAGCGACTGTAACGTCTTTAGTTTAGTATTTTTAGATTATATAGACACCATTGACGGAAAATGATGTAATGGCATTTTTCCAATACTGTTTAAACAGAAATTAAAAACAACTGGTCAAAGCAAAGGCTTGTAATTATGTTGATCATTTTTTCAAAGTTACGGAATTATGGGCTCCACTGCAGATAATTGAGTTTCAAAGTGACTTCAGTATGAATGATGTAAGAACCTTTTATTAATAAATTTAAAGTAGTTCGTAAAAGAACGTTTATTTAAACAGTTTAGATTTGTAAGTGCTGAAGCTTAACTGTGACCACAAAGTTAATATTCGAAAGGACCATTAAACAAAGGATAACTTATTGAATTAATATGAGCATTCAGGATCTTCGAGGGATGTGCTAAGTTTTTGAATATTGTAGAACACACGAAGGCTATTTGGGGAGGGAAAGCCATACCTTGTGGAGGACTTTCTAAGAAAGACTGGCTGTTATTCCCATTAGACTTGCAAAAGCCAAGAAACGTAACCATGCAGCCAATCCTCTTATAAAATCTCAAAATACAGCGATCTTAACAAATCGACTACTGGTGGTAGATATTGAAGAGTCTTAGTAACTCAATTACTGATGGTAACCATTAGGGGTAAGATTACTGTAAGATAAATCTGTAAATATGAAAATCATGAGGTGAAGCTGGAGATAAAGGAAGAGGGATATGAGTTCTTCATATTTAGCCTCTCTCAGGTTCTGTATGAAACGAGTGATCATCAAAAACGTTCTGTGACCAAATTACCCAAAGTCTTCGCAATAAAGGCGAAGATTAGACAATCTTGAAAGTTCTCAAGATCTTACATGAGACTGTTCAACTGATTACATATCGGAATAATAGCCACTTGCAGCAACAAAATAAAATGTATTTTTAATTGTTTTCCATTGGTAATGCAATTCTTTCCACTGCTGTATAAGAAATGCGAAATAGTCATTAATTATTAAGGAATTAAGAATTAGGACCACACAATGGTGCAAGATTTTATCCGTCATTCATAATATAATCTCCTTGCTACCTCATGGGAGTGCAACTCCCAGATGTGCTAAACTGATACCGTGAAGTTCAGTCTTGCATTTTATCAGAATCATATATATTCCAGGGAGGAAATATGTAGAACTTCAGAGGAGGAAGCATGAAAAATCACATTGTCGTCCTCGGAGAATCGCCATAAACATTATTGTGGGAGTTTATGTAGCCGTCCGATATTAGTATAGAACTTAGTTATCATGTACGCTCATGCATAGGTATGTTTAGTATTAGGCAACATTCCATCAAGTTCTTTCCGTTTTATGAATAATTACTTAATTTTTTTATTTAGATACTCCTTTAAGAGGCCACCTGACCATGCCTGGGGTACGCGTGGTCCAGACGGCTGGACAGGAATGATGGGGATGTTGTACAGAAATGTGAGTTTTGTGTTTTTATTTTGTTGTAATTATGAAATAAATATTTAACTTTTATATAACAGTTATTTTTGAAGATAGTCTTCAACATTTCAAAGAAGAATGATTATGCAATTCATTTCTTAATACCAAGAAAGCATTTTCTAATGGAAGCAGTTTTATTGCTTACGTAATAAATTTTTAGAGGAAAAAAAGGGAAGGGGAAATATTTGATGTTGGAGTTCTTCAGATCTTAATTCGAAATCAGTGCTGCTCTGATTGCACAATCTAATTTTTCATATTATAAGTTCTTTTGTTTTTCGAAAATAGTAAAATGTTTGCAGTAGAACAATAAATAATTACTTATCTAGGGTATAACTTAATTTTGCTCTGTCATTTAACATTTTCTAGAAAGAGTGCATATGCCAGTTACAATGACCATGGCTTGTAACTGGCATATGCAATCTTGTAACTGGCTATGCATTGTAACTGGCATACCTTAGAAGTAGCTGTATTTTCAAGCATCCTAGCTAGTCTATATTGTACTTGGAAATTATCTAAGGTAATACTGAAATGTTGATGTAATAAGATAAAGAACGACAGAAATGCCGATAGAACTAAACGGTTTTGGTTAAAACTTATTTTAAAGTATGTGTTGACACAGGTTGCTGACAATATGTTAAAACTTGATGAAACTGATGAATGCTCGCTTGTATATACCTGAGAAGACAATCTGAGAAGAAACAAAAGTTTCAGTAGATATCCATTGGTGATTTGAGGAATATTTAAAAACTTCAAAACTTATATTTATAACATTAATATTGGATCGCTGCAAGAAAAACACGCGCAAACAATTTTATGTAAAATTTCCTACCCGCCAAATATCGTCATCAGTTTACTAAAAGTTTCTAAAGGAAAGAAATATATCTCCTTGCTTAATTATTTCAAAAACTGAAGAACGAAACAAAATGATGTACACAGCGCAAAAATAAAAGGGCAGTTCTATATCTCCCGTTGGACTGAGCCGATTGACGAAATTCAAATTGCTTTTTTTCATGTCTCGAAAGCACGACTTAGGATATGTATTAGATTTATATACAAGCATTGTTCTAATATAGGTATTTTGACATAAAAATCGGACTTTTTCTTAAATGACATGCCAACTTTTTTACATATTTCGATTCTATGAATCAAATTATGCCAAAGTGCCAAGTTTTGTAAAAATCGCTCGAGTTGTTTTTAAAAAATTAGCTCTCAAAATTTTAACACTTCGTTGTTAATTGAATTTGATATATATTTATTAATCTCTCTTTTTTTTTTAACTTACTTGATTCCTTCTTCCAGAATTCGAAATTCAGTCTTAATCCAAATATAATTCGCTTATTTTTTAAGAATTATTTTAAAAATTTGTATTTTTAAATATTTTTTGTAAATTTTTCATAAAGAAATTTGTATTATAACCTATAAAATTTTTAACATCATCTTAAAAAAGATGTATTTCTAGGCACACCTGTAAAAAATTAGAGTTTTTTTATTCACAATTTCCTAAGGTATACGTGAATTTACATATTGGCGTGCTTTGAAATTTGGCATATTCGTTACAAGCGATAATAACGCCAAATGTGGTTCACGCACTATGTTAAAATTATTTGAAAGTAAAGAACGTGACCTTCTTTCCGCTCGTTTAAAATATAAAAAAGGAAAGGAAAATAGGTTGCTATAGATTCAGAAAATTACTAGGGTAATTATTCTTGGCATAAACTGGACAAAAATCCGCCAAAAAAAGGTCTTGAATTTCTCCATAAATTTCGCATTAAATGTTACAAAATTTAATATTTAGGCATAATTTGAGTCAATTAAAATATGTAAAAAGAATTCATGTGATTTCGGAAAAAGTCCGATTTCGTGTCAAAGTACCTATATTAGAACAGTGCTGTATATAAATCTAATATATGTCTTAAGTCACGCTTTCGAGACATGAAAAAAGCAATTTGAATTTCGTCAATTGGCCCAGTTGAATGAGAGATATAGAACTGTACCCCCCCTTTTTTTTCAGTGTACATTACAAAGTTTTTATTTACAAGACTTGTTTATAATCATAAGCACTTTTATAAAATATAAGAACAACTTTTTTAATTTAACAAAAACAAATAGACAATATGTATCTTTTCGTAGAAAGCTGCTTGGTGCGTGTTGGCCTTTATATTTCTTTTCAGTAATTCACTGTTCTTCTCTACGGCCGTTATAGTGGTTAGTGACGCACCAAAGGGCCCGGTTCGGAACCCAGAGAAGACATGGAAGTAAGTGTTCGTAAGGCTGCTATCATACGTCGGTTTGTTTCGAAAGAACAACTGTTTGGAACAATTTTTCTGCTTTGTCACAACAGCCAATCACCACAGATCGCTGGCTTAACACAGGGAAAACTGGTTCTCCAATACAAAAAGCTAACAGTTGACACTGATAGCTGATTGTTGAAAACGAACACCCAACTTTTTACGAAAGGAAGGAAAAAGTCGCACGTCTTTCTTTCAATAGTAAACCAGGCAGAAAAATTGTCCGAAACATTTGTTCGTGTGAAACAAACGCCGTGTGATACGGGCTTTTGTGTTCAATGTTTGTGCGATAACGGGGCACTAAAAACACAAGGCGAACTGATGTTTTTCTCGAGAGGTTGATGATAGTAGCAGAGAGTTAGAAGACCCTCGGACAGCACACCGGGGTGTTCTATACAGACGGGAAGCTTAGCAGTTAGCAAGGCCAGGCGATACCTAATATGCCCACTTGGTTACACAGATGTCTGCCTTGCATCAGCCTATACCTCTTCTTCCCTAGGATGCTGAAAATATAATTTGGTATGAATATTTTGAGATAATAAAAATACTATCTGAGTTCAGCATAAATTTAATGTACTGGAAAAACTGAATACTATAAACAAAATATAAAGTATTTAAAATTAATTTTCCATTAAAATGCTTTGTATGTAGTTTATTAAAGTTAAAATTTAATAAAGCTTTGTAATTTGTTATTAGCTCGTTAGTAAATCATTAAATTAAATCAAACAATTAAACAAGTAAAAGGGGAAATAAATTAATTACAATAGACTCTGATTCAAAAACTAGACTCCTATTCATAAACATTTCGCATTTGGTAAACCATTAGAGAAACAGGAAACTAAATATTAGGTACGGGTAATCCAAACAAAACAATACGTAGTGGTCTGCGTGAACATTGCTACTGTAATTTTAATGGCAGCTATCTGAAAACGTCGTCAACATTTTTAAACAAAAAAGAAATTACGTGATTCATGAGTATTATAAAAAGATTCTTTTATTCTAACCAATTATTTTTAGTCGACTTTTCTGTTCCTCCTGATTTCAGTTTCCTGCCGGAATGTAAATTTTAGTGACGTAGTATGCAAAATCTAAACGTGTGTTCAGAAGCAGTATTTAAGCTGCGTTTCAACACTTCGTGAGAGGAGTAGCGGAGTTAGTTCCGAGTTTATGCTGCGTGTTTGAAATTAGCTCTCTAGTTGGTGTTAGACACCTTTCGGTTTATACTGATATTCTAGGCTCGGCTTTGCTGTGTGCAGACAATATAGCGTTTTAGATAACTAAGGAGTCAGTCGTTAGCCATTCAAATTTATTGTGATTCGTTACATATTTATTTTCTGTTAAATTTAGTTCAGCCACAATTGGTGGTGAATTGTGAGCACCGAATGCGTGTGCATCTTGTTAAATTTAGTTAAAATAAAATGGTTATTTAAAATCTTCTTCTGCAGTATCTATTTTTCAAAGACATAGCGAGTATTCGCTACTTCGTCTTCTACGTAGGTTCTACATTTTATGCTTCCAAAAAGAGTGAGACTCTATAATATAAGCTAAAACCTTCTCAAAAATACAGCTGCAATTAGGTCAATATTCCCTTCAGAACCGATAGTATATATATATATACTATTTAATCGTTAAAAAAGTATTTTTGTGCTTTTCGCCTGAGGCTGCCCCGTTACAGCGAGCGTCATTAATATGGCATCATTTTAACAATTGTCTTTCACTTAATTAAAAAAAAATTACGTAAGATAAATCAACAATCGAAACATTTTTGCTTTCATAGTCAGAAAATCATTTTTATTGATATATTTACCTAATTTCGTTCGAAAAATTAAACGAATCGTACATATTTTTGCAGGAAGTCGACTTCGCTATGGGTCCTTTTACTCTGACCTATGAAAGAAATTCTGATGTTCCTATGTCGGTTCCCTTGTTTACGGATGAAGTAGATATACTGGTGCCACCGGAAAACTGGGAAATGTCATTATTCAGTGTTGTGAAAATATTTACTTGGGACGTAAGTAATACTTGAGACATAGATGCTTCACTGATGTCTGTCTCGGCCTTATGTAAATTTGCTTTAGCTCTAAAGGAAAAGTCTAATAATCTGAAAATCAAAAATAAATTTTGCTGCACAAACTGGTTACAAATATTGAACATGGAGGCCTATTTCTCGAATTAAATGTCATCAGTATCTATGTTCTATTATTAATAAATTCACTGTACTTAGAATTGCATGAAATTTTGAAAATTAGCAAAATGTTTTCTTCTACAAACATTCCTTCTTCAAAACAAATGTTTCTTCTACAAAACTCATCCTTTGCAATGTTTATATAAGAATGGTGACCCTAATCTCACTTTCGAGGTCATTGCTTTTTGTCATCAAATATTAATGATATAGTCTCTGGTTGTTTTAATTATCAGGTGCCATTCATACATGATAGACTGTTGTTGCAAGACTAATCAAGAAATATAACACTCACCTGTTAGAACTAGAGTTAAAAAGAGATATTTAGGATCGAAGATGCGATAAACACTGTTCCCTGTTTTTTTAAAAAAGAAAAATAATAAATCTAATTCTGTAAAAATATAAGCACATAAAGTATCCCAATTCTACTGTGTCCAAAAAACGTTAGTAAAGTAATATTTTGACTAACTTTTTATAGCTACATTTAAAAGATAATATCTCATATGTTTTAACATAATGTAAAAATTGCTTAATACTATTAGTTTGATATCTATTTAAGATAGGTATTGTTACTTATACCTGAAAAAATAGGTCATTTCTTTTAAAGTAGTAAACTGATTAATATTTACATTAAAATATGTTTTTAGTAGAAAACATACCTTTTCTGACGTGTTACTGGAATGGTACCATTAGTTGGACATTAAAAGACATAGTTTAATTAGACGAATGGAGACGCCAGTGAAGAAAATAGAAAACCTCGGATGAAATTAGATTGGCGTAAATTTTAAATAAAACTCTATCCATTTCATAGATGACTCTTTTTCCGAAACTAAAATGTTTTCCAAAGGAGGGAAGAATAATAGCAGTATTCAAGTAAAATCAAGCAAAGAGAAAATGAGGTTAATGCCATCGATTGAGTAACACAGCAGCAAAATGAAAACTAAAATGTGAGAATTCTTAAAATGTTGAAAATAACTGAATCGAAATTAATGTTATTAAGTAAAAAAAAGTAAATTATTATCATTGTGAAAAGATTAAGAAATCGCAAACATCGTACAATTAACATAATACAAATAAAGTTTAAACAATTACAAAGAAATGCACAGAAGGTTTAGCGCAAATGCAGGTTAAATAACAATGGCTACAAATAAAGTTGAAACAATAAAAAATAATTTTTTTAAGTCTGCACCTCTACAAAGCAACGCTTTACCAGCATCTTACAAGGTGGCTTTCAGAATCGGAAAACGCGAGAAGCCTAGGTACCTAGGTAGAAAACCTTATTATACCGGCTGTTGTAGATATGGCGAACGTCATGATTGATGACTCTGCAGGGAAGCTGCTTCTAAAAGTTCCTTTGTCCAATAATACAATTAGTTGGGGAATACAACATACGGCGGAGGCTATCAACGATAAATTAACTGAAAAAAATAAAGGAATGGAATTTCGATTGCAGATAGATGAGGCTACGGATAATAATAAAGATGTTCATTTGAAATGCTATGCACGGTTTATAGATGGTAAACATATTAGAGAAGACCTTCTGTTTTGCAAAAATATCACTGCGGGAGCAAAGGCTAAAGACCTGTTTGAGATTCTTGAAAAATTTAAAACTGAAAATAATTTGAATTAGCCTACGTGCGCTAGTGTCTGTACTGATGGTGCTTGCCCCATGTCTGGCTGCTATGGAGGACTGTATGTACTTATTCAAAGCAAATGATTTAAATTCACTGTGAACCGGTTGCATTATTTACAGAGAAGCGTTTGTATCAAAGCGTCTGAGTTCTGCAATGAATCTGGTGTTAGAATGTGTGATGAATATAGAAAAGTATTAAGACACAATATAACACGCCGAATAAGTACTAATTCAGAAGTCAAACAACAAAAATCAGCGTTAATTTTCATTTTCACAGGACTAGTTTCGATGGTTTTACCGAACCACCATCCTCAGCTGCAAAACCGCAAATGAACAGATAGAATTTTCCTATCTTGTTCATTTGCGGTTTTGCAGCTGAGGATGGTGGTTCGGTAAAACTATCGAAACTAGTCCTATGAAAATTTTAAAAATTAACGCTGATTTTTGTTGTTTGACTTCTGAAATAGAAAAGTATATAAAATCTCGTCCACTAAAAGCATATTTTATTTAAAAACTGTGTGAGGATATGGGAGTCGGATACCCGTCTTTGTTGCAGTACAGCAGTGGACCATGGCTCTTTCGCGGTAATGTTTTATAATGTACCTTTGAATTACGGCAAGAAATTTTTACTTTCCTTAAGGTGGAAGAATACAAAATGTAGAAAATTTTGGTGATGCCGATGTTTGAATAAAATTGGCATAATTATGGAACATTATTTAAAAGCTGAATTCTTTTCATTTCACTCTATAGGAAAAAAAGACATATACCTTCTGAAGTAAACAGGAAAAAAGATCAACTTTTATTAAAACTCTCAAACTGTAGAGAAAAAAAAATTAACGAAGATGCAAGCAAAGATTGAGTTTTAATATGAGCAATTTTTTGATATCAAATGGACTTGATCTTTCTCAAGGTACAAAAAGCATGTTTAAAGATCCCTTATCACAGCTAATTATATGGTACATGAACGTTATTTTTTTTTATCTCTTATTTACGATTAGTTATACCTTTACTTAAGGTAAAGCACCAAGGAAAAATTTTAATTGAAAAAGAGGTCGCAACTCGGAAAAGTTCGGGAACCACTGCCTTAGACGGTTTCCTCCTTTGAATCATTTTTCTAAGTTCATAATCGAGAGGGAAAAAATATTTTGTAACATTTTCTGTTTTCCCTAATTCTTTGCTTAATGTATTGCTAATTATTTTCTATCAAAAGTTTTGTTAAGATACAATAAAGTAAGTAAGCATTTATTTTTTCCTGAAATAAACCTGAAGTTTAGATGACTGTATATTGTGAACAAATTTGCTTAGGTGTTCCGGCTAACAAAAGCCACTACACAAACAAACACCCTTCTATCATCTGTATTAGGCGGAAGGCTTGAAAGACAGTCAAAAGTCCCCTGTAAGAGGGATAAACAAACTCGCTTGTTACAAACCGGAGGCCTGAATCTCGGAACGCGGCATGTAATCGATACAGAGGCAAACTGCAAATTGCACAAAATTCTAAGGCAAATTACTAATGCACCCTGGTACATACGCAATAACAGAATACATGAGGAACTGGGTGTTCGCCCCCTCAAATCATTTTACTATAGAATTGCGAAGAGATTTCACAATAAGCAGCGTATGATCAACAACCCAGCCATCAAAATAGCTACGTATGACCAGTATGACTTAAATAACAAAACCAGACCACTGGCCATTCTCAATGAATGGATTATGTAATTCTCCATCCTTTTTGTAAGCATAGCATTGTAATGCATTCCTTTTGTTCTGTATAATGTTATATATTGCGTATTGCACTATTTTTGATATTAATTTTACTTCTGTATTGCATATTTAATTCCATATGAAAATTGATTACCTTTACCAGCATCCTCTCTGTCTTGCTCCTCTGATCAAGGGCACTTGTAATACTTTTGCACTTGCTTGCATTTAACCAATTGCCTTTCAGCTTACCGTCACCAGCTCGATAGCTTTCTGATCTTTACAGGTACACATAAGAAATTTAAAGGAAAAAAAATATGTATATTTTGAAGAATACCAATTAAAACAAGCTAATAACTTCTGATTAAATATATATATATATATATACATATATATAATAATAATAATTATTATTATTATTACATCCTATTAAAAGGATACCTGGCTATTTATTTGAACCTTTTAATCGTTCTACAAGGGGTAGGGCCTTCGGCCCAGGTACCCTGATGTTCCAAAGCACCATTCTACCAGGACTATCTCAGAAAGAAAGCGGGCTTTAAAATAAAGCTGTCTTTTAAGCCCCGACGCGGAACCAGATCACCTCGCGATCTTTCATCTCGGGTGAGAGACGAAGAAGAGGAAGGCAGCAATGACTTTTGTTATTGGCCATCACGCTATCCAGTCGGATGGCCGAAGACACTACCTGCCAGGACAGCATAGGCTGTCCCTTCTGGAGGTAGGAATCGCTTTTCGTGTTATTAGGCCATCAGAGCCGCTGCTGGTGTAGTGTAACATTAAGCCAGTGTATGTATCTCCAGGCAGTATTGTGTTGCGGTGAATAATATTACGCACACATGCACTGTATGTGAACATACTTGTATTTGTTGTCCTAAAGCAATAAATATAGACATCTTTGTATCTAATGCAAAAAATCTGAATACAACTCAAATTTTCATTTTAGGTCAAATTTATGTAGCCAGTGAAAGATAATGAATTTCTTGACTACCTCCCTGTTAGAGTGCCTATCTCTATCAATCGTCAAATTCGGAAGATCACTCGCTAGAATGAAACATATTCCGATGATTTCAGAGATCACATGACTTATGCGTAGCTAAAGTAAACAAACAAAATCATTCTTCCTCTTCTGTCGCGTCTCACTGGCAAACGTAACTGGTGTAAATTTAAAAGTGCAACCCGTTTAATTTCACTCTGTTTTGTTTACGATGTTGTCCATGTGATATCAAAGATCAACGATTACACATTTTCTTTCCTCTAAAATGCTTACCATTTTGAAACTTGTAATGAGTTCAAAAAGGAATAATAAATTTTTGGTGACAGTATAAAATGCAACATATTTGATTATAACTCGCAAACATATTTGATTTTCAATTTCATCTTCTGTTACCTTTCCTTCGCTACTCTTTTTTTTCCTCTAAAATGTTGGCCATTTTTAACTTGCCGTCATGTGAAAATTTGAAGTAGATTCTTCTTGAAATCGTTCATTCTTTTGTATTCTTCGGTAATTCTTTTTCTTCGTAAATGCTAACGGCATTTAACGTATCATCACGTGAAAAAAAGGAATAGCTTTTCTTGAAGCCCATGAAATTTTGCGTATTGAGTGAAAGTGCAAAAACTGCCACCAATTCCTTCGGAAGAAAAGTATTTCAAGATGTAACTGGTAAACTGTAAGGGGCAGTGTCTTCGTGCCGATAATTTGTTGCATAATTTCAGGATTCCGTTTCTTACTGCTTTACTCTTCAGATACTGTTGGCCTAAAAATCTTAATAGCACTTATATCGCATCGAGAGTGAAAGCTGTTTACCATCAAACTATACAAACCGGCAGATATCCCTCCAAAGTTGCGCCAATCATTCCTGTGGAATTCTTAGTGTTCTGTCTGCGGATCTTACCATAAAGCATTCGTCAGACTCTCTACACAGTCCATCAAATAGCCATTGTTGCTGGCCAACAAGTGATATAGCTTCGTTTTTGCTCTTTGTGAAAAGACTTTTCTGATTTCTACTTCTTCTGGTACTTTCTACTTCTTGTAACCTTCCCGCAGGTGAATGTTTCTATTACTATTTTGTCGGCCATATTCAGCTGTTCTTTCCTCACTGAACAGCTGTTAATTTCCTCGACGAGCAGCATATGAACCGAAGTACAGTCACAAATGTGATTCTGTAGCTCTCAACTCAATTTTTGTTTTTCAAAATGCATGAAAAAAATACAGGATTTGCATTTAATTGATATCGTTATTCCTAAAACGTTGATACTTATCATAAATCATTAGGAATTATATCAAACGAAAGCGCAGATGTTACGAGTGTTATGGATAAGCGTGATGCATCACGCGTATTCATTACTGACGCTAAATCCATAACTGACACATATACATAATTAACGTAAACCATAGCTTGGCAAAAATTTAACGATCGACTGGATAATTAGTAGTATCGAATTAACTTTCGAATCGTTAATTAACTGAACTAGTATCGAATTAGATGGTGCAGTTGAATATGAGCGGAAAGAAAGTACTAATATTTGATTCTATAAATAGCAACTGCTGCCAAATTACAGCGTCCAGAAACAAAAATAAATATTTTTTTTCATATAATGCATTTTTCAATTTTTGGATATTGCAATAATATATCCTAGTTTTTGGAAAATTAATTTTAAATATCGCCAAATTACACCAAAGCACTTGCGGTGGCCGCTTGAACAAGAAAGTCCTATTTCGTATGAGTCACAAGCAATGCGTTTGCTGAGCTACGAAAATAAAATAGCTTTTTACTGGTGTTTTTACTGTCTTTCAAGCTAATGTACATGACGCTTTTCTTCCTACGTTTATTAATGAAACATACATTGTAAATTGTTAATCTTTTTCTTATTATTGTTTTAGGTCTGGCTTGCTCTCTTGCTTTCACTTCTCGTTAACAGCTTTATTCTATCTGTTATTGGAGAAATTCAAAACAAGTATCTTTTTCAACAAAGTAATAATAAATTCTTCAGCAATGTTTGGGTGATTATTAGGATTATTCTACGCCAAGGTTAGAGTCTACAAAATTTCTGTTTTAAGGAGTAAATAAAGAATGTTTTACATTTGAACTTAGTTGCAAATGTATGTTTAATGCTAAAATTGACTTTCATAATAAATTCATGTTAACGTACGATGAATCATCTTGAGGAGATAATCAGACAGCGAACTAAAGAAAATATTATACTTTTATGTTTGAGCTATCAACAAAACTTGAAACTTAGTTAGTGTGTGAGCAGTTTAAATAAAATATATAAAAAGTATACAAGGATATATATATATATATATATGATGTACCAGCTTTTGTCCGGAATAAATAGATTGGCGAAGAAATATAGATGTAGTCATAGCTTAAATTATCAGACGATAAGTTTAAAAAACAGGATCCATTTATTATTGGTTAAGAGAAATAGCAGTTACAAAATCACATTTCCGGAGTAAATAAAAAAGAATTGCTAATAATTTTTTCTATGAAGTTTACAGCATCGTTACATTAAAGAAAAGACCCCGATATTCCTTTGCGAGTCCTTTTATAGCCTCTGGAAAGACGGAGCTTCCAAGAAATGACGTGAGCCTCGTCAGCCATTCCACTTCGCTTTAAATATCTCCAGAACATTCTATAACTATACGTGTAGAAAAAGGCGGGAAAAACAACTTGACTACGGGCTGTGGATTTAATTCCACGTACTTTCAAATAAGAGACCGTCGCCATTAAAAATGAAAAGAACATACAGTTAGAATTTTAAGTGTATTTTTGACAATGGAATTTTAATTATTACACACACACACATATATATATATATACAGTATTTATATACTTATACATATGTATACACACACACACACACACACACATATATATATATATATATATAACAACCTTTTATTTAAAAAATTAAAAACTTATAAAATAATTAATGAGCTAACAGGAGAAAAAACTATTTGTGATATAGTTTAACGGGAACTAGAGATTAAATAATTTTCTTTGCAAAATCCATCTACAATTTTATATCATGAGTAATAAAAGCGCGGAGACGCCCATGATAAATTTCTAAAGTTGTTTGGCTTATATTTTTGAGAATGCAATTGGATCGTTCAATTTCGTTATTTAGGCGCCAACGTATCCATTATTTGCGGTTGCGGAGGAGTTTTGTAAAGAGAATTATTTAATTCTTTGTTCCCATTAAACTCTATGATAAACTATGTTTTTAAATTTCAGATTATGAATTATTTTGTAAGTTTAAACAATAGCTTATTTTATAATTTTTTATTAATTTATTTATTTTTCATGTTTTTAGTGTCATATCAATGAATAAAAATGAATAATTAATCACTCTTTTACTTCCAACCATCTATTACGTCAAACGGGTGAAAATAATCCAGTGATTTTGCTAAAAAAAACCGTTAAATTTTCATAGGAACTTTAAAACTTCACATAAACTTCATTTAATGAATTTTTTGACTTTATCAGATGAGATAACAAGAAAATTCTGAGATTTTTTAATTTTTTTGTAAAGGACGACATGTCCAAAAAATCGTTTCAGCTTTAAATTAAAAAAAACATTCTAAATATAATTAAAAAATATCTTCACCATACTCTATTGTAATCGTGAAAAATTTAGAGAGTAAATAATTAAATTAATTAATTAATATTTTTAATCCTTTTTAAAATATATCTTCTAAAAAAGAAGGGAATAACATTTTTGAAATGGTAGAAAGCTTTTAGGTTTTTACTCGTATAATAAGCTTAATGCCTTTAAAAGTTATTGTTTTAGCAAAGAGTTAGGAGATTAAATAAATAAATAAAATCAGTATTAGACAAATGTGTGCGGAAGAAAAGACAACAATGAAACGAACTGACATTGCGAAGAGTTTGTTTCCTTTTCTGTGAAAATTTTAAAACTTTATAGCAGATACATGTTTAGATGATGAAATTTTAAAATCATGGGCGTCGAATAGACGACAATTCGCCAAAATATCAGAATTTAAGAAACAATTTTATACAAATTTAATCTGAAAAATTCTTTTTTGCTCTATCTGATGATGCAAGCAGTAAATTTGTGGGAATTTTAGTTTGTTCCTAAGTAAAAATGTGTGCATAAAATCATTTAAAATTATGTGTAAAATGCATGCGGAAAACATGTGCAAAACGTCTTTCAAAATCATGTGAGAAAAATCGTTTAATTGAAAACTTCTAAATTGAATTACGAAAAAACTCGCTTTACCACATTGCAGTGTCATTCACAAACAGCGTGTGCACAAAATTTGAACTTGATTGCTTATAAAAGCTAGTCTAAGCATCGATGGAAATTGTTGACCCCTGTGCGAACACTATGAGTGCGAAATATGTTAAAATACACAGAAAGACATATAAAGACATTTTATGAATAGAAGAGGAAACACGTATTTTGTTTTCATATTCAGTATTTAACATTTATCGTCTTTTCCATTTACGTTAGTTAAATAAGCTATCTTAGGCTGGATTATATCTCAAATCAATTTTATGACTGGATAAGATATATTCATACAATTTTAACAGAGAATGGTTGAACATTTAATATCTGCATTTAACACTTATAACATAGACACGTTATAGTAAGTAAACCTTTTCTTTAAAAATTAGCGTCTTTTTATGTCTCGAAGGATGTATATTGTATTCGCATAATGTGAAGAATTAATTGCCTTGCAAAACTAAAATCTTTAATTTTTCTTTCAAAAGTGATCAATCTGTTATTGATTAACAAATTGAGTGATTTAAGAACAACAATACACTAATGATAAAAATGTTTGACTGAGAAAAATTAAAAAGCATTTAATTTGAAATATATTCAATAGATAAATTTCTATGAATATTTGCAGTTTTGTAGTAATGAATAAAAGATACTATAAATGAAAGAGTGAGGGATTGGGATTATTCAATTATGGCAAAGCACACGAGGGCTATCTGCCTAAAGAGAGGGGTGCCTTCGTGGAGGACTTTTTAAGGGAACTTGGCTCGTATACACGTTACACATGGGAAAACCACGAAAACGTCCATGCAGCCATCCCGTTCGCGGGATTCGAACCTTGGACAGAACTACCAGTGTTCAGCGTCTTTACCGCTCGGCCGTTGGTGGGCTAAAAGAGTGAGGACTTGTGTAATTTTAATTTGAAGTTCACCACTTTACTAGCAGTATAAAATACAATAGCTTTTATATAACGGCAATATACAAATGTATTTGTTACAATATATCACAGCACATCAGTTTTAAGTCCTATGTACAGTTTCAGTACAAAATCTACAATTACAGATACGTTCTAACATACAACAACTTCGTAAATGTAGTAGATCGTTATGCGACTCTCGATACAAATATGAATTAAGCGCAGTGAATCTTCTCTAAGAAGATCAGCCACGGTTCCAAACGATTCTTGTCTTCTATGAAGATGGTCACCTTAGAGGGACGATATTCATCACCAATGTTCTTAATTACAGCAGAATCTCTTTCAACAGGCCAGCAACGGGATTTCTTCGATTCTGTATAAGAGACTTTTCAGGATAGCTGAATTAATATTTCTAGAAATTATTTGTTCATGCTTTGTAATGACATCTATAACTGCAGTACGCGAAGTCTGTGTTTTGGATCTATCCTCCACAATTAAATAAATATTGGAGAAAATAGTGTTCATTTTTTCAAAATTCATACAGACGTGATTTTACGTTTCACAAAAGCAAATTAAAGAATATTTTAAAATATTCATATTTTTATCACATGAAAGTTACGAATTCCTTAGTGAGATGGCAAATAACTTCGAATGTGCGCTTGCTTGCAAGACTGTTGTTGTAGTTACTAGCATCGATGAGCATTTCTCGGCACATATTTTAAGTTTGCAGTTCATTCTTCAGCTTCTTTCCATGTAAATTCTTGCTCTAAATGTCGTCTTCATCTTCATCCTTTTTCTCATTTCTCTCCTTTTCCAGTACATGACCGATTACTTTGTTGACAGTCATCTTTTTTTATTCTTGAGGTTATTATTATTATTATTTATCTTTGAGAAAATGTGACGGAAACAGAATTTTCTACATCAGCCTAATCCTGCACCTCCACTTAACTAATACTTACCTTAATCCAAGATGTCGGACATGAGCGCCAGATATGCTTTCAAATAAAGAGAATCTTCGTCGTCTTCTACAAACATGATCATTGGGCACAATTTGCGCCAACAGGAACGTAAAGTAATGCACTTTATATTTTTCCTAGAAAGAGACAAAGTAAAGTACGTTTATTTTCTTTCAATGCAAATTACTTGAGGATATCAAAGACTCAACCTTCAAAGTTTATTCATCGGCGCATAAAAAGAATCGATAGTTCATCTTTATGTTCTAAATTTTCTTTGGTCATTTGATTGGATAGGCCATGTTACGCTGAAAGGTTGGAATTTAACATAAATGTTTCCTAGATTTACATCGAGCCCATTATATGTTTCTTTATTCCATAAGCATAAATTTCAGATTTAAATTTAGATTTTCAAAAGTGCCGTTATATTGATACTGTCGGTTAATTGAGTGCAGATTAAGAGAGATTTTACTGTACTTTGTTTTAGAAATGCTAGTCGCGTTCGGTGGTACATCTATAGCGATATATTGGGACAAAATATAGTTATGTTCTAAAAATTAACTAACGGTTAACTCCACAGACATAAATAAGTATTATTTATTATAAGAAAATTCAATAAATATTTAACTAGTCTTATTAACACCACATCGATTACATCACCATATTCTACGGTTGCTGTTTTCTAGCTTTGGTTGGTTATGCTGTTTTTGGTACCATAAGATCAGATGAGAGGTCACATGCCTTTTTATGACAGCTTATATCACATTTGTGCAAGTCATTCACAAACGTATGTATTGATAGGGCGGTTACAATGAAAAGAAGGGCCAGAGGCTTGGCGCGCAGAATACGTTGTTAAAACTCATTTTATTCAAATGATATGCAGAGGTATCTAAGCATTTTTAGATCGGTTTTGATAGAGATTGAAATGAAACAAATTTTTTGGAATCAAAATTCCCGACAACAGCTTATGGTCTGAAATAAGAAATATCATCTGCTACTTTTAAATTTATTCTTCTTTGAAATGTTGCATGTAAACAAACTGCCGATTAAAGGACATGTTTTTGCGCTTTCTAAAGAGAAATTTACCTATTCCATAACCCAAAAATGTTGTGAATTGTATGGCATTAAAATTTCTAAGTGCAAAGTAAACAACTTAATCGGAAAAGAAAAAACCGTCAGTCATAACTTCAACACGGAAAGAAGATTTCAAACGAATACCCTAAAAAGATACGTACTGTTTCTAACGTTTCTAAAAAATCTTTTATAACAAGAGAAAATCCGCCGACACAGAAATCAGTTGCAAAGTCTTTAAATACAACTGTAGCAAAAATAAATAAATAAACCAAGATTTACAACATATAAAAAACTAAAAAACATAATGTTCGCCAGCTTTTCCCGAGGCGTGTGACTTAAGAACTGTAATGGAAATCATTATGTAGACTTATAGTCCATAAAAAGGCCTTCAGATCGAATATTTAAAAAAATACTTTTTGCATTTGAAGCATTAATTAAATGGCCCCGAAATCATTCTAAGAATATGTAAAGATCGTGTATACTACTTTACTCATTTAAACGTTCTCGTGTCAAATTACCTCTGGAGTTGAAGTCTACATTTAATGACATAATAAAATTGCAAATGTGGTCAGAAGTAGACGATTTCAATCACATAATTTTCCAGCTTTATGTGATAAAATTCGATTAGAACATCGTTCTTTCTTGTGTCATCCTAAGTTCGTTTGCTGGTGAGATAGAGGTTTGGTTAGAGTTCATAAATTGAAAGAAAAATTTCAAAGTACCTCTTGAGGGTAATTCTAAGAATTCAACTAAATACTATATATTAAAGACAATTACTTGCTGTAAAATAATGACCTATTTTGCTGATCAAATATATTAGGACCCATTGAGAATACATTAACTTGCACTGACTAATAAATTGGGAAACAACATTTCAACTTTGGAAATATGGGACGAAAATTGGTTTCTCTGATATTTTATTTTGTGTTGCATATGCACATTATGCTCTGAATGAAAGGTGGACGTGGTTGCTGCATCTTACGCAACTAATGCAGAATTATTTGTTTTATAATACATGTGAATACTTTACATTTTTAAATGTTTCTAATATTTTCAATTTGAAGTTCATCCCTTTACTACACACATGCAGTTTGAAATAAGATAGCAGTTATATATCGGCATTATACAGCTGTCTTTACAAAAAATATAGCGGCAATATACAAATATATCTTTACAACAAATATAGCGGCAATATACAAATATATTCGTTAAAAAAAATCATAAGCAATATCAATTTCACGTCTTAAGTACACTTTCATTACAAAATCTACAATTGCAGATACGTTCTAACATTTATAACAACTACATTCATAAATATAGATTTAAAAATTGATCTAATCTTGAGGTTGAGTTGATTGAACTCTTGAGGATGTTGCGTTATAAATTCTGGGTAATGACAAAGTCGGTGTTTCCATTCATCGGAGAAAAAGCTGTAAATATTCTTTTACTATTGTTGGAATAGAAGAAAAATTCCTTTTCTAATTGTCAAAAATTTAAAGAGATCATCAATGAAAAGACTTGATCATGTTTTGCTTGTAGGTCTTTCCACCACAGATCCAAATATAAAAAAATATGTTCATAAAAAAACGAAGTACTTCACTGGAATAAGACGGTAATATTTGTATTACTTGTGGCAAAAGAACATTCAGATATTTATTTTAATACTTAGAATGATTTTTTAAATTCCTCATTAAATATTATTATTATTAGCATATTTATATAAAGTAAAACATTTTGCATGTAGTTAATTTTGCTTTTGTACTTTCACATTGTAATTTAATAGAATAAGTTTCTATCTATTAAATCAAAATTTCACTTAGTCAAATCTGATAATTTAGTTCATAGATGTGATGTAAAAAACAATATCAAATATCAGTCACTGATTTGATGTATGGATTAAACTCTCATTTATTTCCTGCTATGACTGTATAAAACGGCTCACCAGCGGCCGAGCGGTAAAGTCGCTGAACACTGGTAGTTCGGTACGAGGTTTGAATTCCGCAAATGGGCTGGCTGCATGGGCGTTTTCGTGGTTTTCTTCATGTGTAACGTGTATACGAGCCAGTTTCCCTTAGAACGTCCTCCACGAAGGCATCCCTGCCCTTAGGCAGATAGCCCTAGTGTGCTTTGCTGTATTCTCAATACACCGTATACACACCATATCACATTAGTCCCTTCCTTAGGCGACCAATTATAATCCTAAATGAGCAAGGTTTTTATGTTTATTAATCAACTAACTGAAGTACCCGACTAACTAAGTTTTGAAATGCAAATAATAAGTGATCTAAAAGACATAAATGAAAATTTGAATTTAATATGAAATTAAGCTTGAAAATCAAATCATAAATATACCCCATTTTCACAAAAGTCCTTACACGGCCTTTACTTTTGCAACCGTTTGCCGTAGCATGTACTTTGAATTACAAAAATGTATAAATGATGCAAATATTCATGTGGTGCCATTTTTAAATTTATAGAATTCAGTTTTATGTTATGAAATGTAATTTTTATATGAACTGATGTTCAAAAAATTTTGCTCAAAAAAAAAAAAAAAAAAAAAAAAAAATTTTGACTTCCGCATGGCCAAAATGAAAACGAGATATTTAATTTCAAAATTTGCGAGTTTTGACATCATTTTTGATTTGCACTAAAGGATCAGTTAGTTAGAATAATTCAAGATTTATTTCTACCCCTTAAAAGCCAATTAATGATATTCTTTTGGGACTTACTAGTACCTTTAATTGCATTTTTTTTTCATATGGTATACCGAAAGCATTTTGATACAAGTAGCTTACAACTTTTCAAAGTTGCTTATTAATATTCTCGTAAAGTTTTATTACTTTAAAATCAGTCTCGTAATCATTTAAAGATTCATCAAAGTCCAGGTATTTTTCATTTTAATCAAAACAAATATTAAGAGTTCGCTTCATGCCAAGACGTAAGTTTGACAGTGTTTCCTAGAACACGGAGACTGTATGATTCTGTTAAGAAAATCTGCGTTTTGAAAGAAAATTATATTGTATTGATCAATATTTTTAAAAATAAGGATGCCTCGTAGTGGTTGTCACTTAATTTCTTAACGACAGAAGCCTTTTTATAAACGGATATTTTATTTTTGGGAACATAAAAATGCAAACATTTTTCTTTTTAATTTGTGTAAACCCCCAAATATGATCGTCTGTTTTAACATTAAAAATATCCATGAGAGAGAGTTTTTGTCGCACTGGAATCAAACGTTTATTTTTTTAATTTTTATAACGAATATAAATCTTTCCTAAGTATAGGGACTAGAGGAATTTATAAAAAATCTGAAAGATTTCAGATTGTGTCCCTTTAGGATAAAAAGATTTAAAAACAGTATATCTTTAGAATTTCCGATAGGCAGTCTCGCGTAGAGATGATTTTTTTTTTCGCACAGTGTTGCTATTACTTGCTCTGAAATTATTAATTTTATTAAATCTTTAAAGTTTTACAAAATATGAAGCAGACAAAAAACCAATTCGAAATTCAAAATTCGGGCTTCCAGGTGCCCATGTTTGGGTGGAGGATTACGTTATTCGAAAATTGATTGCTCTAGGTACTTCGTTTTTTCTTAACAGAATAATACAGTCTCCGTTTTCTAAAAAACACAGCCGAGCTTACGTCTCGGTATGGAGCGAACTCTTAATATTTCTATTGATTAACACGAAAAATATCTGGACTTTGATGAATCTTTGCACGATTACGAGACTGATTTTAAAGTAATAAAACTTCACGAGAATCGTACATATATGCATACCGATTCTTCATTACTTAACTTCTTTCAATGTGATAATATTTGGTGGTAACAATTCAATAAGTGCTGCGCCGTTTATAGTGAACCAACGTAAAATTCCGTTTCAAGGCTAATAGCATTTTTGGACTAAGCTTCTTTGCGCTAAAAAGTTATATTTCTTAAATTTTATAAAACTGATTTCTTTAAACTAGAAACTGCCAGAACATGGAACTTATGTGTTATTTAAAACATTTTTGTTATTGGAAATATTTATCTACGGCCACATTTGCGAAAATAAGAGCTGAGTGTGGATTTTCTGTAAGCGATATATAGTCCTAGCCTGCTACTGCTTGTAAATGGTTTTTAATATGTTTTTGTTTTCCTCACAGACTATGCTCTGAAATCGGTTACTGCTCAGAAGGCTGTTATTTGGATAATATGGATGTTTTCATCAATGGTGATATCTTCTGTTTTCGGAGGCATTTTGCTAACTTCGCTAGTTGTTAGGAAAGCTCGACAAATCAATTCAGTTGAAGATCTAGCAGCGTCCTCCCTACAACCCATTCTCGAAGCGCATTCTTCCACTTATGGCAGATTTAAAGTAAGTCCCTCGAGTGATCGGTTAGAATGAAATTGTTCGCTGCTTATCATTTCATCAAGTCTGATTATACAAACTTCGCAAATGCTGAAATTAATTTCTAAATATGGATAACAAAATGATCCCATGCAACAAAGAATTTTTCGCAAAAGAAAATGACGCTTCTTCAAAAATTTATATTTTATTATATTTTAATCTGCAACATTAAATAAAAATGTCATTGCTTTTTTTTTTCTAATAAAAGTAATCTTGCTATTATGGGAAAACATTGCGAAGGAAAGTCTACAAAATGCAGGCATTTCTTCCACATGTTTCATGGGTGCAAAAGTTACCACATCGTTGTGACACACCGAAAATCCGCAAGAGCTTAATTTATTTTCTCACGTGTATTTAGAATTTCTCTTGATCAGTATAAAGTCATTAACTTTTAAATACGGTTTAAGTGAACTTAAGCTAAACCTTTTGAGTAAGTAAACTTGAGCTAAATCTTTTGAGTAAGCAAACTTAAGCTAAACCTTTTGAGTTCAATCAGTTTCTTATTTTCTTAGAATTATTTTTATAGTGTTTTATTGCTTAACTGCTCGTTGAACTGTTTTTAGAAGCAAAATTTGTTGAACGCATGAAGCAATACAAAAGAACGAGAGAGATGATCCATTTGATTTTAATTATAAGAATGACCTGTTTTTGGGGCGATTTTCATTAAGCCTTGATGTAAAGAAGCATAGAACATTGTAGAAAAGAATTGCTATCAGTTTACATAGTTAGTTTGAACTGCAAACAATGTTATCTGATGCATCTTTGCAAATAATTGGCTTTTTCTTTTCATAATCTTGACAGTTAAGATATCAGGCGTATTACTCAAGCGCATTAGCTCTGACTTCTGAGCCTATTTCAATTAAGTGCTAAAAGATACTTAAATTGTAATTGATCGCATATTTTTTTAAATAATGATAGACTCAACGAAGCTGGTATGTGTTACAGTTCTCAAAAACAAACAAGATGCAGCTTTCATTCAAACCAAACTTCAAAACTGATTTATATACAGACGCTAATCCACCTACATATCCTAATCCACCTAATCCATTTAAAAAGAGCATAAAAGATTTGATAACGTAAGTTACATTTGTGATCAAAGAAGGGGGCATTCTAACCGGTATTACACCTCGTGAGAAATTCTGAATCGAGTGAAAGAAGCCTTCATATGGACACCAAAGAGATCAACAAATAGAGATAGCAAAGAATTTCAGGTGCGACAGACGATAAAATGATCTTCTGTAAGTATTTGCAGTTTTACCCATACTATTTGCAATTGATGCAGGTAAAATTATTGGGGACACACGCGATGTACCGTGGGTCAACTGGTAACGACTTCCTGTGCTAAATAACCCTTAATCCTTCTTTCAAGCTTTGAGTTTACAAAGAAAGGTTGAGGAGATGAGCAATTGAAGCTTTCCAAAGTATCTAGAGTTAGCCTTAGTACATCGTGCAATCCCACCGTACGCCCCGCATCCAGTGTGTATATTAAAAATAATGAGAGAGCATAAAGAAATTAAAATATAATTTCAATACAATTTGAAATTCACAAATTAAATTGAGAACATGTGTTTTAATGTAACACAAATAACAGATAAACATAATGAAATAATTATAATAATTACTGAGAATACAATGTTATAAAGAACTGCACTAATAATCTAAAGAAGTGTCCATAGGGTCAAATAATTTGAGAATAACATCAAAAACACTGTAAGTAAGAATCTGTGAGCTCAGGGATTTAAGAATGGAAAAATTGAGAATAAATAATTTTGCCAAGAAACCCAACATAATATTAAAAAAGCCCCTTAAAATGGTTTGTTTGAGAGGTTATTACAATGTATAAAGTTCACAAGTAGAATCGTTTTGAACATACTCTCCGGTGAAGAATTTCATTAAATTTACGCAGCATGTAGTTACGGCTGCTTATGTTAGTTTCATCTATCACCAGTTACATATTCATTTTCATCATTTTATCATACTTTCATTCATATTAGTAATCTCATAAGAAAGTAGCTAGTTATTCTTAACTCTTGCTCTTTATGTATTGCGCAACTTTACATTTATGAATAGAAGGTTATATAGAATGTTTTGCTGCAACATCTGAGTTGACCTCTAGTTTTACGAAAGCCATGAGTATAGTTGGCCGTGAAGTTACTAGGCATTTTCACTCCCATCTATGACAGCGCAATTATAGGAATTTTTCATTCGAAAATGGTGAGTATATTTTTCAATTTGCAGTACGGAAATTAATGTAGTACTGTAGTGTTTTCTATTAAAACATACATAATATACTATAGTACCTATGTAACCATACACAGTAGATGATTAATATGTATAAAATATTCCAGAAATAAAATCTGAGCTCTGGTGTTAACATGAATTCTTTCAACATGAACTCCTGATTTTTCGGTCCCTTGAGATTCGTGTTAACGGGGGTTTGCTGTAATCGTTTTACTACTATCAAGTATACTGAAAATCTGTAAATATTAAGTTGTGCTTTCGTTTAAATTTGAGTTAATAAGGTTAAAAATGTATCGCCATTTTTGTTTCTTCTCGGTGGCTTCAATTAAAATTATTTAAATTTCGTTTAAGGTTACAGGCTGATAAATTTGGAAGGGGGAAGGGAAACAAGTAAAACCAATTATGTCTTTATCAAGAAACTAACCACGAACCTAAATGCTGTTAGAATGTTACAGATATTAAGAATTAGCTACAAGAATTGGCGTAATATGCGTATATTTTAATTTCGAAGGCTAAATAGAATTTCCTTCTTCTGGTGCAAGAGAGAAAACAGCGACCTTTCACTGCTGCAATTGAAGAAAAAGATTCTATCTTAAGTTCAAAACCACGTTTTTGCAAAATTATGTACTTTACGCCGATTCCAATTGCTAATAATTAGGAACTTTAACATTTATTCTTCGGTATGTTCTTGTTATATTTTTACTTGTTGTTAGTTGAATTTGCTAACCACCACACCACAAGAACACATGAAATGAATGCTTCTGATTCCTTTCATCCTCACGGAAAAGCGGAAAGGGTGAGGGGGGAGTGGACAGAAATCAATGAGGCAAATCCAGATGAAGAATAGTTATCGTCCATTACATATATTGCGGGTGAAATGTACGAATATTATGTGTTCAGCGGAGAATATAAAAAATCAATGACGCTTCTGCTTTAGCTGTGTTAATCCTGATCACACAATAGCACACTTAAGAGATTCTCTACAATTCTAATTCTCTACAAGATCTTCATTTCATTTAGACGGAAACTATTTTATTAATTCTCCTGGTATGAATTCTAAGCGCGATCAATACTTTTACTTTTGTACCCATATTAAAAATAATCTGAATTTTATTGTGCTTCCTCGATTTCCTTTCAGAGGTCCCTAATTCCAGCATACCAGACCGTTTTTCACAAAGCCAGTTTGGATGCAGAACATACGCTACTGACTATGAGTGAAGTAGGTGAAACAGGTTTGGGATTGGTGGCAACAGGTTCCTACGCTGTTTTACTTGAAGGCATGAGTATTCGAACATACATGGCAAAGAGATTCAAAAAGGGTCTTCACTGTAATTTTCGTTTTGCCCGGGATCCCGCCTTCACTATGTGGAAAGTAATGGCTTTCAGCAACGCTTTTCCTAAACCACTTTTTCGAAAAATGAATAAGATGTAAGTATATGTTTTTTAAATTGTATCGTTTATATGCATACATATTTTCTTGTTGTAACACTGTATATTTTATTCCTGCCATTTCGGTACCTCATAATAATCGAGAAATGTAGCTTATGGCTCTTGAATGGAAATTACATTGATTACCTACCAACACTAGTTCTTCAAATATATGTCTAAGTGCTTCATAAAATATCAATTATGCTAGATAAATACATTTAGTTACAAATTTTACAAGGATATTTTAAATAATTTCTGAAAAACACATGGTGTACTCTCATTTTCTTGAATCACAGCTCATTCTCTAACACCTTTTAGTTGAAAGAAAAGTTAACGTCACTTATGTAAGCATAAATCTAATAATTCTTTGAGAATGCCTTCATCATGATCCCCTCAGCTTGGTCTTTGTTCTCCCGTAAGGAAATTCTATTAAAAATATATTGTTAGAAATGCAGCTAAAATAGTTTCTGTCGCTCACTAGATGGCACTCCCAAGGACTCCAAATGAAAGGAATGTAACCTTTTTTTTCCTTTGTCGGCATACTCGGTTAGAGTTTTTTTTCTCTCGTATACAGGTATTTACGAAATAGCGTTTTAGGCTGTCTGGCCCCTCTTTTAATTTTTACAGCCACCAGAAAGTAAAACGAAATAGATAATATGGGCTGCAGTATTCAAGAATAGCAGCTAAATAAATATTTTCATTCAGCGTTCTACATAAGGTGTAATCAAGTTTGTTTTTAGTGGAAGTGTAATAACAGCGCTTAAGCCTTTTACGCGTGGCCAAATATTTACCGAAGATAATTCGCGTTTTATGGGAAGGATTTTGAAAAGTAATTTCTACGCATTTGATGCCTAAATGGCATATTTCATGCCCAAAGGATGCATGCCTAAAGGATTTCATGCTTGCATTTTATTTATGCCTAAAGGGCACATTTCATGCTGCGATTTGCTTCTGTCTAATAACTTTGATTTTTGTATATAGGTCGAACCTTTTTTTACACGAAAGTAAACTTTCCTTTAGATCGTCATGTCAATTTTATCCCGTTCCTCTTTGGTGGTTTTCCAAAGTCCGTTTTGTGTTCTTCGATGACGTTTTCTTAAGGCTTAATTTAACAAACCGAAGCACAAAAGTTCATAGGAGAAGAGTCAGCTTATTTTTAGGTACTATTTCATTAAATGGATGCATTTTATTCCTGTTTCTGATTCTTTATTTGCTAAAGAATTTAGACGAGTGACTAAAGGTTGTCAGTATGAAGCTGAATTTTATTGAGGTCCTGTCCTCAGTAAAATTGAGCTGCAATATCTTCTTCAAAAAGTGTTTAAAAATATTTGCTGATAGTACACTGAATTAATTTAGTCTTATTGGAGACTTTTTAGAATTTTAATTGTGACAAAATCCTGGAATTATCATGAATCCCGCTGTGAGCTTCTGTATATTGACCGTACCGTTGTTTGCGTCAGTTGAGCAACAGAAAATTGATATTTATTTTTAAATTTCAGCCACTTAAATATATACACGCCTCTTCCAGTGTTCACACAAATTTCCATTTATCAGCAGTTATGTGGTTTTGTTATAATTTTCTACATTGTTTTTCTTTCCGAAATATTTTCCAAAAGCAGATGAATTTTAGGTTTGAACACACTTTTTAACTTCAAATCTTTATGAATGATTTTACTTACAGTGCCAGAAGACATAGTCGCTGAATATTCTTTCAGAATCAATCAGAGTTCACTTTCTTGACAGATATCCGCGTTCGAACGTGTCTCAAGATAGGGTTTTGTGGCTATATTATCAATTTTTCCTTTTCAGCTAGACGCTTTTTCCTTTTTAAATTTAATATACTAAAAATATCTTTTTTTGAAATGCTCTGCATTTATACTGCTTTACAATTTGTTCAAACAAATATTTTCCCTTGGAAACTGCATTTACGGAATCTTCGAATCATTAACAATTTTAGGAACCATTTACAAAATAAATTTCTTATTCTGCATCCCAATTATAAAAAACGACAGTAGATGATTATAATGAAAATGCCAAATGTTTAACTCAAAATGCTAACGAGAAAATTTAAATAGAAACTCGTTCCCTCAAAGTGCGAATGCTCACATGTTACTTATAATATTAATAGATTTTTTTCACTACTTTTAACAGAGAGACATGCTGTGTTTACATATTAGATTTACATATTTGTGCCATAATAGCAGATTAAATATTTGAAATGATATATTTGAACATTTTGTTGAATTTTGTTTGTTTAGTAAAGCAAATGTAGCTTTAATGCGTATTCTGTAATTTTTCTTTTAGTATTCGCTGGTCATTCGAAAGTGGTTTGCTTTTGAAACGGATGGAATTACAGTATGCTGGCTACACGCAGTGCCTATATCAGAAAGGAAACCATGTTGAAAAACTTGACTTCGAACACGTTCTAGGAGTATTTTTGCTATGGTTAATGGGCTGTGCTGCTGGACTTGTTGTTTTTATCTCAGAACTAATGAGAAAGGAAAAGAAAATACTAAATTGAAAAATTCAGACAAAAATGCAACATTCAGCATCAGCTTTGCAGCGAATTATTAGAAAAGAAAACAACTAGTAGAAAAGTGAAAAAGAAATTTATAAACATAATATAACCTTATTTTATACAATTTTCATTTCTTTTAATTTAATTTTCAAGTTTCATATGTACCTTAAAAAGAATATCAAAGTTTGCTTTATTGCAATTCGGGAAACTCATAAAGCTATAATTTTTCTTGTGCAACAGCATCAGAAAAGTAAATGTTAAAAAAAGCATTAGAAATATCGCAAAGTTCTCGTGATAGTCATTTCTCTAAGACAATAACCCTACAAAAGACTGGTATTTCTCAAATATAAATAAACATCGCTTTTGAGTATCACCACTCGCCTAAGACAGCAACTTTCACAGAAGCTCAAATTTATTTAGAGCCGTGGGTGGTCTTTTCAGAGACTATACCAGTACTTCAGATACATTATGGGGAAAGGGGAAAGATAATGAAAATAATTTTTTGTTAAATTTTTACACATAAAAACAGATTTGTTTCACACAGTAGTCCATATCACAGTAGTCCCTTCCTATGGCGACTACCTACAATCCTAAATGAGCAAGGTTTTTATGTTTATTAATCAACTAACTGAAGTACCCGATGCCAGTTAAGTTAGATTGAGAGTAATGTATTTAACAGCAGAGAGAATGAAACCGCTGTAATCCTTCTCTAATAACGATGCAAAAAATAGGATTCATAGTCATACATTTTTCAATCTGATGCGATACGGAACCACGTAAAAAATTTCGATGGAAAAATAAGCTAATTTTCTCTCATTATATCAGCAACAATGACACGCAGTTTTTAATGATTTTCGTCTTTCTAATCAAATAGTCGTAAAAGCTCAAGTTCCATCCAATATTTCACCTATGTTCAATTTTAGTCGATTAAATGTGGCAAAAAATTGATCATGATTGATCATTCTCCAACGTGCAAGACTGTTGCCACTCGGAAAAATGAGTGCGAAAATTAGGGCTTTCAGAGTTTTTAATTAATATTTCAGCTGATTAAAATCATGCGAAGATGGGAATAGACAAAATGGCTTCCCACGAATTTTTGGAATCGGAAGTAATGTATTTAATGTTTGGCAATGCTATTTTTATTTCGTCGGAAAACTTAAAATTTTTTTATTACCAAACTCTAAGATTTGAAAGCGAGCAGTGGCAACAACTTTCGAAATAAAGCAGATTTTTATCTCCATACGTCCATACATGCGAAACTGTTGCCACTCGGAAAAATGAGGGCGAAAATTATCGTTCCTCAGAGTTTTTAATTAATATCTCTAATTTTAGACACTTTTTTCGAAAAAAGTGGACGTCGATCTTTTCCGGACCCAGAAAAGAATTGTCGAAAGTTTGGTGTGACTGCGTTATTAGAGGACAACCAAACACACAGATTTTCTTCTTTTATATACTATATAGATTATCACATTAGTTTTATTTTTACACTCCCCTTCTACATTCGTCGGCTCCTACCAAAATGCGTATTAGTTAGCATATATAAAAACAGAATTCTTGAAGTAAGAAACAGCTACTGACAGTTCACTGCTGATATTCTCGTAACTAGTTTCTCCCACCTCTTAGTATTACATAAATCAGATATAGGCTTTGGCTAACTGTGTTTGTTTGCGCAATTAGAAGCCCTGAGTTAAAGCTTGCCTTGTGAATTGCGTACTTTATTTGTAATCATAGTTTGTCAAAACCCGTGGCTTATATTGTAGTACAAATTGCAGTTTGTTACGTTGAAGTTCTAATAAAAATGTTTATTTTCAACTATCTTCTGAGGTCGTATTTATTTCTGTAGACGACAGGGCAGTACGTCTGTCTACAAGGAGCAGGAATTGAGGTTTGAAAAACAAAGGTTCCGTATATTAGCGCTCAGCGTGAATAATGAATGAAGATTCAACAATACTGGCCCTCGCCGAGTCGCCAGTTTGATAAATGTTGGAAAGAACGATAGAAAATCCTGGTTATCTCGTAGATGTTATGCGAGCTTTGATGAAACCAGATGTCATTTTTGGTGATCTAAGTTATGGAGCTAGTTTTGGAAGAAATCTAAAAACCACTTCCTGTTGTATATACTGGACAACCGATTTAGTTTTGAAGTACATGTTCCATATAAATAAATTTGATCATTTGTGGAAATGGTCGCCTTATAGAGATAATGTTAATTACCGATATTCAGCTACATTATCAAAAATACTGATTACGTTTAGAGGTGGTAATCAACTACAAGTGGTAGCCTCGAGATTGTTCACTGTTTTAGTTGATGTTTTTTCATTATGTTTTTCATGGAATCCTACATCCTTAGAAAAATAGAAAAATAAATATTTTAAATGAATTGAATATTTGTGAATGATGCTTGCAGATTTTGTTGGAAAAAAAAATCACTGTTTCATAATTTTGCTCATTTTAGGAAATAATAAATATGACTTGTTTAATTATTTTTTACGTTAATTTTACGGTACACATTGTATTTAAAATTCTGATGAATGACTTGCCAAATCCTTAGGGGAGTAAAGCACTCCAGGGCTCCACGGAATACAGTTTGAAAGCTACTGTTTCATACAAAGTGGAAAATCTGTTTCTTTATGTAGATTCTCTTCAGTGTCTTAAAGTATGTATTTATAAGTATTTATTTCTAAAAATTCTGAATAACTTTCATTTGCTGTACGCTGAGTTGTACCAGAAATACTTTATTCTTTAAGTTGTGGAGATAAAGGAATAAGCCGAAGAATAAGTAAAGGTCTCCAGTTTCCCAATAAAAAACTAGCAGTTATTAGAATCAGACTAATTCAAGGGAAAATTTTTCTATTAATTATTATCATCTGATTAGAGTAGAGCAAATGGTGTATAAATTATTAAATTTAAAATTTTCACAAAAATGCCCGAATAATTGCTAAATTATTTTATTTTTCGGAGAAAATAAGCATAGTTACAGACTATTTTAAGAGCAATTCGTAATACTGCATATATAACATTACGTAAATTATAACACTTAAAAAATTCGTAATTGAACAATGCTTAGTCAGAACTAAGAATAATAATATAAAGTATAATATTTGATGACTTTCCATGTAAGACTATAGCTATGTTTAACTTAAGAACCTTTAATTTAAACAACGTATTTTCAGCACCAAAAAACTTTGGCTCGTATCACTTTTGTGTCCGAATTATTGTTCAAACTTTCGCGATGTATTATTTAAAATAAAATTAAATAATGAAAAATCTTTGTATTGTGAGAAAACGACGGCACCTAGACCTACCTGACTTTTAATACATGTACCAATCACAAGTATGGGGACCTCAAAGCCCGAATTTACAGTTTCAAATTTGTTTACAATGATTTGTTTAGATTTTGTTCAAATTTAACACATTTCTGTTTAACAAGCTCAGTGATTTGAAAGCGAGTAGTGGCAGCATTGTTAAAAATGTTATCTCCAGTATGCCAGACCGTCACCATTCGATAAAATGTAAGATATTAAGCTTTCAGTTTATAAGATATCTTCTTCTTCCTTTCCACATGTCTTTATAGTGTAACTGGAAGCACGCTCGGCGCGTATCCGGAAAGTCTGAAGTTAGAATCTCGGATTTCTCGGATCTTATTCAATTTCCTGACTTTTAAAAAATTCTAAAACATTCTACTATGACATCACCCGAACTAAAAAGGTGGTGGATGATAATTCGTCACCACCAAGATTTGGCGACTCTAGCTGCCCTTTAAAAAAGAGTATGTAAGGCTTCCTTTCTAAATGCCTTCGTAGTGTAACTAGAAGCACACTCGACACGTGTTTGGGAGCTTCGGATTTCGAATCTCGATTAGCGCACTGCAAATTTCTTCAATTTATGACTTCAAAAAATTCTATAAAGACTCTCTATTGGCACTCGCACTAAAAAGGTGGCGGATGTCGCCACTACCAAGATTTGGCAAGTAAGTCGTCTCACCCTAAGCCTCCTTTAAAAGGGGAAGTATAAAAGTATTTCCTCCCTCCTTTCAGCATGCCTTCGTGGTTAAATAGAAGCACAATCGAGGCATATTCGGGAAAAAGTACGTATGGCTATATGAAAATAAAGTATGGCTAACACTGAATACGGAATACTACCGAAATGCTCTTTAAATATTTTGTAATTTTGTTCTTGAAAGTCATGTGGCGTTAGTGCGGAGAAAGCGATTTTTAATAATAAAGTAAAAAAGACGAAAAAAAGAAGTTAGCAGGAGTGAGTCCAACAGCAGACTGGTAACCAGTGATGCTCAGCAAGAGCATAAAAACCTTCACAAATCCTCTGGTGCGAAGATAAAATCTGAATCTACAAACGTATCAGATTTTCTTTTTTCCTTTTTTAAATTTCTTTTTAATAAATTGCCAGTTTCGGATTTTTATTTTATGAGTGATAAAAATTTTTTTTTCGAAACGTACTGGATTATTCTAATTTAATTTTACACCTAACGGGACAAGGCTTTTCACAACTAATGTTAAATTTTAATTAATGTTTTCATTTCTGTTGAATGTTTGATTTAATTTAAAACTGCTAATCTTTAAATTCACAGATGCGAATTATAAGAGCAAAAATTTCTTATTATAGTTTCCTAAATAACGTTTTTTAAACATAATTAGTAGTTGTTAAGTCATAATATTTCCTTTTTTCTTTATTTGATTTAATTCATCTTATTATCAAATAAAGTTTAGAAACCTTCTTGGCAATCATAAACTGTAATTAAACTATAGATAAATTGTTAGCGAATTACCGCTAAGTGTAAAATAATAATTGAAACTTGAGGAGGATGTAAAATTTGCTTTTATTTAAACCTAAGAACAGAAGGCACACGTTTTGCTTACAAATCATCTAACCACTTATAGCGTAAAGTAACAGTAAGTCAAATGTAAGATTAAGCTAGTAAGCAAAGGCTGCACAGACCAGTTTAACGCGAAGTTAGCTTACTTATCTAAATGATATGGATCCAGTATTGCGAATTATAATGCAAGGCCAGAGATTACAAAGCTTATCTTATCTAACAACCTAGTAACATGGCCATGAGAGGAAGAACATGGTATGTCTTACAATCTAAAACTCACCGTAAATACAAGCGAACTAAATTTGCGTTCTGACGGGGAAACCAATAGGAGAAGTGACAGTAAAGATCCAAAACATAAAATATATGGTTAATTAACAGAAAGGAACCTTTCCGCACTGGGATTTAAGTAATCCTAACGAAGGTTTTGATGACTTTAGTAAGATCATATAAATTCTAACAAAATCAGTACCTAACAATGAACCAACCTTTTCCAATCAACAGCTTTCAAATTAGTTATATTAGAGATGTGTCTCCACAAGAAAGTTCCTTTCTAGTACATTTTAATTTTTACCAGCACCTGCTGTCCTTCCGGTCATCTGGAAGGAAAAATACTTTATCAAAACATCTAACACATTTTATGTAATTTTCCTTTTCAATTCACTTTATCAGAATCATTCATACACTTTCAAGATATTATACAATTAATTGTCCACCTCTTCTGCTTTCCAGGGAAATGTACTGAAATTTGCGAACGTGTGCCATTGTACAAGTATGTTAATGTTACACTTGTCAATAACATGTGTAACAGCCAACACTAAAGTTTAATAAACTATTTTACTTAGCACTTTGGAATAGTTTTGAATTTCAGATGTTTTTGATGTCTACTGCTTCTAAATTATTAACATGTACATGTAATAATGTTACATGGTAACATTATTACATGTATATGTTAATAATTACATGTATATGCTAATAATTACATGTACCTGTTATTCAAAACTATTTCAAAGTGTTAAGCAAAATAATTTATTAAACTTCAGTGTTCGCTGGAGAGCCTAACTTTTA